CTCTCTCTCTCTCTCTCTCTCTCTCCATTTATTTGTCTATCTCTCTCTCTGGCGTGCATTTTGACGAACGTCGTCGCCAGCTAATGCAAAAGAGGAGATTGATGATAGACATTTGTGCATTCCATACGATGACGGGTATTCTTTATTAGGACCTAAGATTTACGTTTCTCAGAAGCTGACTGAGACAAGGTACCTAGAAGTAGACCAGAGCAGCAGATATTTCAGAATAAAAAAAATATATTATCTTGGAAGAAGCATAAGTTCCTACAGTTCTTTGTTTTAATCTCAAATAGAGCAAAGATAATAAAATGGGATCCAAAAACTTTTATTGTATCAGTTTAGCTCTAAGTCAAATAATCATAAGAAGTATGACAAAATTATTGCGCTAATTGCAAGGCGAATTTCATTTAATCAGTTAGCAATATAATATGATGTTTTTAAATTTAAGATTGAGTATATGTATATTAATTGCATTTTATATGTATGTCAACATGACATATCAGTATTACATCACTGATGACCTCATGACACTCAACATATTAAAGTCGGAATAATTAATGTAGATGCATAAAGGATATCTGTATAATTATTAAAGTCGTACAATTAACGCAAACAAAGACACGATATCTGTATATATCAAAATGATTGCTCTGTTATTCTTCCAGCAAATGCTCCAGTTCACACACAATGGATTCTGCATCGGTGTGCACGGGTGGCACGTCGTCCGACAGGTGTATCCGCTCAAGTAGAAAACGGCTGAATGTACGAGAGGCTTTACGCGCTGAACCTAATGGATCGTGTTGTTGTTGCTGTTAACTTTCATCCCCTTACGAGGCATATACCGCTCTTATTACCAAGCCTTCTCCAGTAGGTTAATCATTTATAACAGTTACATGAAGAAAGAACAAATGACTGCATCTCTCAGCCATCGAATTCACAGTGTATTGATATTGATGTTTTTAACAAAACAAGTGTATATTATTGTTTTTTAATCATTGGACGATTATTGTTATTATATTTATCAGATTTATTAATTTATTTTATATCTCAATTAGACCTTATCATATATTAGATAATTCAAGATGTAATTTGATTATAATAGCACTTTAAGGTTTCAGAACAATTCATCCTTGCATAAACATGTCATTAATCTTTAATATAAGTGATCAAATGATAAGCATTAAATTTCACTCTTTCATAAATTCATAGTATAAATATTTTCAGAGAGTAATATTATGCCTTTAATTTTAATATGTGGTTTTAATATATAGGTAATCTTAATTTCCTGTAAAACATTAGATATCAAAACGTCATATCAGGAAAAATAATGTACTAAAAGATATTAATGAAAAAGCAATGTAATTATAAGATAGGTAGAGAGAAAGAGAGAGAGAGAGAGAGAGATATGGCAAGAGTACTTTCCATTTATATACATATATATTAAAGCACTTTCTCATTATTATCTATTCATCCGATTGCTTGTTTCATAAGAAACAATGTAATGAAAAAAAGAATGTATGAAAAGAATTATACATTTTGTTGAAAATGCAAACATAGACAACAGAGTAAATAATAATAACGGCGAAGAAATGGAAACAACGATGGAAAAGGCAGAATTATATCAACCTCATTCTCCGTTATATACAACGTGTCCCAGAAGCATTAAATGTTTTCCCAGTTTTTTTCCCTACAGAATGAGATATTTGGAATTTCTTTGTAACAAAAAGAGAAAAATAGTTCTCTAAAATACACTTACACATTGAAAATTTTTAACTTTTTGGTATCTTAATGAGAGTATATAACGCTTGAAATTTTTGGTTTTCCGAAATAAAATTCGGTTAAAATCACAAAGAAAGAAAAACAAATTTTTTCGAGAGGAAAGATTATCTGTGCTTTTCATGTTAAGAATATGATATAATAATAACTTGTTGAAAAATTTGCAACACTTGACAAACTACTGTCGATATCTCACCATTAAAATAAATGCTCTTTTTTCATAAAAGAGCGTTCTCCAGCATGTACGATTGAAAGAGCATCCGGTGGTACTCAGGACATGCAATCGGTGCTCAGTCAACAGGATGTCTGATATGA